TATTACATGGCGGACTTTAAAATTATATCATGCTTTTTATGATTTTAATAATAAGGAATAGCTTGCAATAACTTATTTCATTTCGTTTTACTCAATGATATTAATTAAACTCATTGGTTTTACTACTTTATGGTTAATGCGACCACGTTTGAATTCATTCAACCCGTTGAAAACAGGGGAAGTCTACCAAAACTGTTTTATTACCTTAAATGACACCGAAAGTTATTAGTAGTTATAATTTTGAATTTGCTGCCAAAATATAAAACAAATACAATTAAATAGTTCCATTTTCAAAATTTAAACTAAAGTACTCTTTGCTACCTATATTGATTACAAATGGCCAGTTCTAAAAACTTGTAGTGTTGCCCTCGTATATTTTTTATACATCTCTCGGAATTTCGAATCGTTATGGGAAGAGTAAGCATGTGATTAAAATTCTGAAAGACAGAAAACGACAAAAGAAGTCATAAAAATATGTAACAGCGGTAAATTAACAAGGACACTTGGATGTCGCGTCTTGTCCCCAACGAAGCACTGAGCAGTAAGCGCAAAGGCATTAAAATTTAATATACTTAGGTGGTGAAGTTGGCCTTCCTGTCTGTTCAAAAAAAATAATCGCTATGCAGGCACTTACCCTTTGCACGCACTTTACCCATACAAATGAGTCTGCATTCATGAATATGTAGATTGTAGAACCTAGGACCAAGATATAAGTAGCATATATACGCGATCTATGAGAAAGTTATCGATGGTACCTACATGGTTATAAGTTTACGGATTCGAATTCCGTCTCGGAGTGAGAGTATTTAATTAATGTTTTAGTATTTTTTTCAATTTACCAACACTATGTGGAATGGAATAAAAACTCATAGGTAATTTTCTTTAGCGTTATCAGGGTTTTATTCGACCCACGTACCGTTTAAAAAGAAAAATTTATACCGAATACCTATTCCGATTGTGTTGTATCACTAGTTTTTCAATTTTCAGATGCCCGTTAACGCCGCCTGAGACAGTAATAAGACCCTTTTCGACATTGAAGAAGAGTTCCCTTTTGTTACCAAACAGGTACGTTTCTACACGAGGGAACTTAGAAATACAATAAGAGAGAAAGATAATTTAACTCCCGAATGATCGAATTTACCGAAGTGTAACATATTAGCCCAGTTACTAGGCAACCGGCGGCATTTTGTAGGACGGTGTTGCGAGAATCTAAATTATTATTTCAATCGTTTATATTCACAATATATAGATCAACATAAAGGAAAGCTGACGCTGGCGCCCAACGTGAGACCACAAGAAACCGCTTCCTTATATTTTCACGCGCTCTACTCATTAAATAAAATTGCTTTAAAACTGAAATTGTTTTCCAAAAATTCACGCGATAGAATCGTTTAAAAAAGTTATTATTATTTTAAGCCACTCTTTCCTTGCTCATGAACAATTTATCTTCAGCATCGAAATACGTATATATAAAATTAGTTTAACCAGTTATTTAGGAATAAAAAGCAAAGTACTGATGTGATCTGATAAATGGGACCATATGACAAATGAACATGATAAGCAGCCTGCTTTTGCATGTAAAAATAATTAATATCCCAGTAAAAAGTTACAGAGTAAAACAAAAAATCAGTCGATTTGAGAATCTCTTTGCCTTTTTTGAAGTACTTAATAATTGTAACAGTAACCTTTAAAAAAAAGTGCTTTTTACGATTTTATCTTGCCTTTTTTGAAGTAATAACTGTAACCTTTAGAAAAAAAGTGCTTTTTACGATTTTATCTCACACAAGTTGATATTTAAATGAAATAAGCTTGATGGCGCGATGGTTAGCGCGCTCAGTCTGCGATACGATTGTTGAGCAAATTACGCAATAGCCAATCATAGGATGAGTGGCAGTGGCGTAGCGTGCCTTGGCGGGGCCCCGAATAAACATTTTTGAGGGCACTTATGAAGGGTAATGATTTCTCACAAAAGAAAATAGATATTTGTATAAACTGCGCGAATTTTAACATCGATTATTTTGGGATTCTCCTGTTGAAATAAATGACTTAAATGGAGAAATCATGCAGCCTTCGAAAACCGATGTAGGGTGTTGTCAACCTTGAAACGCACGCTTTACGCGGGAAAAATAAACTGCTGTTTTGGCTTTTGTAATTTCTGAAATAAAAAGAAATATGGGAAGTTTTGTTTTTTTTTTTTTTTTGCTTACGCACGTTGGGGGCCCTTGTGGTTCGGGGGCCCGTATAATTGATACGGCAGATACGACGGTAACTACGCCTCTGATGGGTGGTTAAAATTTATTATCAGGAGCTCCTCCGTGCTCCAGAAGGCACGATAAGGCGTTGGTCGCGGCTGCATCTGCATCCGTAATACCCACCAATCCACATTGGGCCTGCATGGTGGGTCATGGCCCATTCTCCTTATTTGATTTGACTCCATCCATAGGCAAAGCCTGAGCCCCAGCAGCCAATTAATATCCTCAACATTAATAGGCTGTGGATGTGAGCTACTTTCTTACCCGATTCCCTACTCTTTCATGTAAGGAATGACCATTGTATTAAGTATTCTATACTAACATTATAAAAAACAGACTTGATTATTTATGTTTGTAAAATTCTTTCACTTATGGGTTCACTTACAATAATTATTCACACTTCATCTGCACTCACTACTAAAATTCTTTTACGTACATCATACGTTGACAAAGACTATAATTTACGCAGGCGAATTCGCGGGAAAGCAGTCAGTGTATACTAAAGTGATATAATAAGAAATAGAATTAAGTTTAAGTGGAGTCACATACACGACTTTAATATGTAAGAAGTGTGGCGAGAGCAGGTTAAATTCAATAAAGCTAAGAGTATATAAATTGCGGTATAAAGTTCAGAAACTGTTAACTTGGTTATAAGTATAAAATATTATATTATTTAATGTCACTGACTCACGTACTACCTACTGAAACTCTACCCTCCCAAGCCCACTCATATCACAAGGCCATATGTGAATGACGTTGCCGTGCAATATAGAACTTAATTACATAGTGATGAGTATTCATTTACTGCCACTTCTTTGCTATTCTTTCAGCGATGAACGCCTTACGTTTGTTTTGTTAATATTTACGTTGAATGAGTTTCCATTGGAAAGTAAATTTCTTTGTGTATATTAGTTCGACCATCTTGTGATGGCGTTGTGTAAAATATTGATTGCACTTTACATCTACGTCAATGAAATAAAAAGGGGGATCGGACAAATTTCTAGTGGTTAATTAATCTCTATGGGTGCTTATTCGTGTGTACCCAAAATTATGTGTTATTTAAAAAATCTTATTTTTGTTTAGTTAAAATATTTTGCGAATGATCTTTAAACCTCGTGAACTTTGTAACCACATACAATTTAATTTTTATCTAATCACTGTCCGATTCCCTGTACCCAATTAAACTTCAGTTTCATTATTTTTGACTGCCAACAGATGGCGATAGTGTGATTATTCTTTATTAATCAATGAGGACGTATTTAAAAAAAACATAGTTCCCAAAATCAAAGTAGATTTCGCTACGGTACGTTCTTGATTTCTCCATGACAACCTTTCCGGTTTTCTTTCATGTTTAAAAGTAAATTAGTTTTCAAAACTCAATAAACAACTCATATTCTATTTGTACTTTTTCGTATTTATATTGATATGTAAGTTTCGAACTTTTCAAATTTCAGTTTTTTAATATGTTAGTTAAAAGGAACGGAAACGACTGTCTTTGGTCCATTCGTTTCCTGCAAAAATCAACTTTTGCTAGACTCGCCATCTAGTGGAGGTGCTTTTTAGTGCTTTCGTTTTTTTTTAATACTTTCTCATTAAGACAACATTATCGACAAAGCAAAGGTGTCAGTATTCAACACTAATGTTGATACCGTATCCTATCCAATTCAAAACCTATGGTGAACATTTTTGTTGAAATAATGTCACCCTCAGCTAGTAGCAGAAACGTCCATTAAATCTTTCATTAATTTAAAGTGACTTTACCCATACAATTTTGACATTCATTAGAGCTTAATGGAGTCATAAAACCTTAATGAACGTTTGTGCAACTCACCGCCTGTCTCACCCCTCGTTGCAATTAAAAGGAATATGTATTTTAGTTTTGTAATAATAACTTTGATATACTTCGTGTTACCTTAGAAAACTTCAGCGACGCCCATGTCTTGATCGAATCAAGGTTTTCTCAAAGTCTACAAACGTTAAGCAGAGTGGTTAATTACACTCTGATCGTATTCATACGCTGTGGCAAGTTCTGTACAACTTGCCACAGCGTATGAATACAATCTACGGTTCTTTAGCCTTTTAGGAAACCGGACCTTTCGGAAGATTGGAAGAATATTTTCATAGACCGACCAATGAATGATTGCTGTGCTTTAAACTTTTCATATCAGTAATCCATAACCATAATGGATAAAATGCGATTCATATAAAAATGCAATTTGCTATATCAACTGAGAATTTAGTGCTAAAACGAGTAGATATGCAGATGTCCAAGACAAGTATCGTATATCATGAGAGAATTCGATAAAATGTAACATCGACCATGGTGCTTTTGAATATATTTGCAAACACAGACGAGGCATACTAATAATAAAGAATTTTTATACTAAGACATGACCGACCGACAAAGTCAAATGGAATCCAAAAACTACGAGAAGAATCGAATTGAGATGTTATGATGAACAAATATAAATATCTCAATAACAAGTTGTAGTGCGCAGATTTTTCAATGAGCTTTAAAATTTATATGTAGGGAAAGAGTTCTTATCAACACAGAATTACAAGAAAGTTTATATCTTCATATAAACAATTTTAACTTATTTCATTCACCTCCTTTACTTTAACAGCTTTAATAATAATCGACGTACCTACATCCAGTATTAAAATAAACGTAGCAAAGGAAAAGTTACACCAATATATCACAACGTATCTGGCGACTTTCATTATGAAACTTCATCATCATAAATGTCACGCAGTGCAAATCAATGCAAATATACAGGTAATACAACATATAAGGTACAATAAAACACAATAATATAACTACTAAATTTTAATTGCATCCAACAAGTTATTCTTAAGCTGAATTCTTATCCTCATCTTAACTAAAAATAACATAATGGCTAAATCATTTCATACCCTTCATTTGCATGTCAGATAGAAAAATATGTATATCTTATAACAACCGAAAATGCACACATTTCACTGTGAACTAAATAATAGAGACATAAACATATGCACCGGATCAAGCGTCCATTATTCTTAGTACAGATTGTGTACCCTAAGTATTCACAAGCCGGTCGCTCCTGCTTACTATATGAAGCCGCGTCATCAGACCACTGCTTTATTTCTGTGATCTAGAACAAAAGTTTATAATTAAAAAATTGAAAAAAATAACGACGCAATAGAAAAATGGGGTTTGGCTATAAACACAGGCCCAGGTCATGGGCTAATTTGAAGCTAAGTAAATGAAGTAATACAATCACATATTATTTAAAATTGCTTAATTAAAAATCATTTGAAATTCATAATATGTACCTATCAAGTAAAGATTTTCATTACTTTTCCCCATCCCAAAGTAAATGCTTCGTAAGCCCATGTCTAGGGTAAATCAAGACTTCATACATGACATCATCTTTCAAATGCATTGGGCAATGAAACGATAATGATATAATACAAAGCGTCGCCATCTTTTGAGATTTAGTGGAACTAGTTTAGAGTTGTCGCAACCAAATGGTATAATCAGCCAACCAACTGGGTGGCTAGCCCTTCAATTAAATTGAATGACGCCATTCAAATATTGGTTGGCTGATTATACCATTTGGCTGCGACAAGAGTGAAACACTTTAGAAATGAGATTTTTTTTATAAAACCATTTTCTAGAAATAAAATTATTATTGACCGCGCCTTCCTAAAGATAACTGCCATTAGTTACCGCCATAATGTGTGTCCCATAAGCGTCTTTCAATAGCATTTGGCCTTAGTGTGACACAACCATAACAAATACAACAAGTATATTGGATATTGGTGTAAAATAAGCAAGGCTAATGCGCATGGATTATCTTCGTTTGCACCACCAAGCATCAAGCCGTAAAAGAAATATATACATTGTTACGGACGGCGGACATGAAGACCCTTCCCCGCAACCTCACCCCCGCAACGAGTGGAGGGGGCACACCACGGGCAGCAGCGACGGGAGCACCCCCCCGCGACCTCCCCGCCGCATAATGGAAGGGGCACCGACATAACATGAATCTATTAGGTCAATTAACGCGTTAGGATAGTAGCTAAGTGCGAACGAACAAATCCCACTTAAGTAAACCCGATTTGTATGAAAGCATGCCTACGAACGTTTTCGTACTTTGTACTACAAATAAGAAGAAAGAATAAACGCCTTCAAATCTCCAAACTGTTGTTTCCATCCCCAACAGTTTTCGCTGGTCCTTCAAGAGCCGGATAAGGAGCTCGCTGATTCTTCAGAAGCCGGATAGGAAGATCGCCGAGCTACAGTTTGCTCGTCCGAAGCCGGAAAGAAGAAAGCGTGTTCTACGAGCGTCGAAGCACTGCAAGATCGGTACAGTGTACGTCGGTACAGTGTACGTCGGTACAGAGTACGTCGGTACAGAGTACGTCGGTACAGAGTACGTCGGTACAGAGTACGTCGGTACAGAGTACGTCAGGTAGAGAGTACGTCAGGTAGAGAATACGTCAGGTACAGAGTACGTCAGGTACAGAGTACGTCGGGTACAGAGCACGTCAGGTACAGAGCACGTCAGGTACAGAGTACGTCGGGACAGAGCTACGTCTCAAGATACAGCAAGATGCCGCGAACAAGAAGCACCACTAAGGACGACCGCGCCACCGACGCGTTACTGGAGCAAGCACGCCGTGGATTATATGAGCTGCCACCCGCTTCACCCTCTGTGGTCGATGGAACAACGACCGCTGAACGCGAGAGGGGTCCTATTCCCGTCGGAACCAGGGAAGAAAAGGACTTTGAACAAGGGGCCACGGCACCAATCACAGAGAAGCAGCGTACTCCTACGCGTCCGGCATCGGTTCGATCTTCGGCTAGCACTACGGCACGAATTTTGAAAGCCGAATACGAAGCCGAAAAACGGCTGTCGGAAATGAAGATCCGTATGGAGACGGAACTTATGAAGAAGAAGCTGGCATGGGAAAAAGCGGTTATACAAGAGTCGGACAACGAGAGTATCGCCGACGATACGAACGTCGAGGAACGCATCGACACATGGCTAAACCAAAGCTCTTCCATCGCGCAACACACGGAGCAAGATTCAGCGCCACAACTGGAACGAGAAGCAACGAGAACAACGCCACACCGCGTATCACGACGCGCTCCCTACATCAATGCAGGGGGGGAGCCCGAAGCGCACGCTGCAGAACCACAGCCACAACGACGACGATCGCCGTCAAGACAGCAACGGGGCATGGAAAAGCTGGCAGACGTGCTAGAGAAAATGATGCACGTCAGATCGCCGCCGAGACAAGCAACCGAACTACCCCTATTCAGCGGATCACCGATGGAGTGGCTACCGTTCAAGGCCGCTTTGAACGAATCCACGCAGCTGTACAAATTTACGCCGATGGAAAACCTGGCGCGACTTCGAAACTGCCTGAGGGGGGAAGCTAGAGAAACAGTATCGGCGCTGCTAGCAACCACTACGGACCCGGCTGAGATCGTACAAGTTTTAGAGCAGTGTTATGGACGACCAGAAAGCATCATCTGCCACGTGCTCGAGCAGATAAGAAGATTACCGAAGCTCGGAACCACCGCCGCCGAATGGAACGCGTTAGCGGTTAAAGTTCAAAACATCGTCTGCGTTATGAAGCAAATTGACAAGAAAGGATACCTCTCAAACCCAATGCTGGTGCAAGAAATAGTAGCGAAGCTCAACCCATGCGTCACTTCAAAATGGTGGGACTACGCAGAGGACCACGGATCGGATCAAGAACCAGAGATCGTAACGTTATCGAAGTTTCTCACGCGCGAAGCAAATAGAGCATTCCGACATGCACACATGTCAACGCCCAGCACGATTACGAAAAAAGAAGATAAGAAACCTTTCAACACGGGAGCAACGCGACGAGCGGCAACGCACAACATCACACAAGCAACCGAGCGTCGCTACTGCTGCTGTTGCCGGGGCGATCATGAGCTACCCAAGTGCCCGCAGTTCATCAAGATGAACACGGACGATCGATGGGCGCTTGTCAAAAAGGAGAAAATATGCTTCAAGTGCATAGCCGCGCGCCACCGACGAACATCGTGCAGAGCAAAGCTGTGCGGCCAGAACGAGTGTCGCCGACCCCATCATAGACTGCTGCACGCGGAGGCCGCACCTGCACCCGCATCGACGTCCGCCGACACCACCGAGGAGTGTCACGAAAAGAAGACTGACGTCGAGACCGTTGCCACCACAGTCGGCTCCGAGAAAAAGAAAGAAGTCCTACTGAAGGTGTGCCCGGTCGTCATCAAGGGACCAGCCGGCGAAGTACGAACCTACGCGTTACTGGACGAAGGCTCGACGGTTTCGCTAATAGACAGAAGATTAGCGGAGGAACTTCGCGCCGACGGCCCCACGCAGACCATCCACCTGCACAGCATACAGAACGTCATAAGGGATGAAGAAAGCAAACGAGTGAAACTTCAAATACGGGGCACTAACACGAACTTCTTCGACTTAGAAGCCAGAACGATCGACCGAATCGGTATAAGAGGACAATCGATTCCAGAGGCCGTCCTGAAGCACCCGCATCTACGTAAGCTGAGCGCCGAAGAGGTGTGCTACGATCGAGCACGACCACGAATCCTCATCGGCGCGGACCACTGGCACCTCGTGATTTCCCGGGAGCTACGCGCCGGACGAAGATCGCAGCCCGTCGCGTCAAGAACAAGCCTAGGTTGGGTGATACTGGGAAACCTGCCTCGAGCCACGACCAAGGAAAATCACAAGATAGTGTCACATCTGAGAATCACAGAAGATGCGCCGCTTCGCCCGTGCACTAACGACGTCGACGAAGAACGCCTCGACGAAATTATAAGAAGTCACTATGACATCGACGCGCTTGGAGTATCGACGAAAAATCGAACAAAGCCCGACGACGAACGCGCCGCGGCTATAGTAACGAAGACAATGCGCCGCACGAATAAAAGATACGAGGTGGGGTTACCATGGCGTACGGACGACGTGACGATGCCGCCCAGCTATGACAACGCTCTGAAACGACTGAAAGGCATAGAGAGAAAAATGGATCGCGACCCGTCCTTCGCCGCGGCTTACAGAGCGCAAGTCGAAAACCTCTTCGAAAAAGGATACGCGGAGCAATGCGACGGCACCGAACAAGCGAGCCCGAAGAGCTGGTACCTACCGCATTTTGCGGTGAAGAATCCCAACAAGCCTGGCAAGCTACGCCTCGTCTTCGACGCAGCCGCCGTTACGAACGATGCCAGCCTTAATCAAGAACTACTAGAGGGTCCAGACCTATTAACGTCGCTGCAAGGAATACTCTTCCGATTCCGAGAAAAACCGATCGCCGTAACCGCCGACATTCAAGAGATGTTCTTGCAGATTAAAATCAGAAAAGAGGATCAGCCCGCTCAAATGTTTCTGTGGCGAGGAACGGAACGAACAAAACCGCCCCAGAAATACAAGATGACGTCATTGATTTTCGGCGCGGCAAGCTCGCCTTTCATCGCACATAGCGTAAGAAACGCTAACGCCGAAGCCTACGCCGACTCGCATCCGGAAGCACTACAACCAATAACACGTAGTCACTACATGGACGATTACGTGGACAGCTACGACACCGAAGAAGAGGCCACCAGAATTGTAAACGGCGTGGCGCACGTCCATCGGCAAGCGGGATTCGTGCTGCGAAGTTGGAACTCAAACAGCGCAGCCGTCTTAGCAACCATACCCACCGAACTACACGCCCAGTCACCGACCCGACTCGGCGCGAACGTCAATCACTTCGAGAAGACACTGGGACTCCTATGGAACGCCGCCGAAGACAACTTGACATTTAACACCACCATGGCACGGGTACCCGTGGAGGTGAAGGAAGAAAGAAGATCGCCGACGAAAAGAGAGGCTCTGTCGGCTGTCATGTCCGTGTACGATCCACTCGGACTAGTGAGCCCATATACAATCGCCGCGAAAATATTCCTCCAAGATCTATGGCGAAGGAAAATTGGGTGGGATGAGCCGCTACCACAAGAAGACGCCGATAAATTCCACACATGGCTACGGGGCTTACATCGCATGGGAGAGATAGCAATCACACGCTGCTATACAACGGCAACGAAATGTCGACGACGGGAGCTACACGTGTTCTGCGACGCCAGCGAGAGCGCCTACGCCACGGTCGCTTACTGGAGGATCGAGGACGAACACGGAGAGGCTCACGTAGCATTAGTGAGCGGAAGAGCAAAGGTAGCGCCTCTCAAAGCGCAGAGTATTCCGCGATTAGAACTACAAGCAGCGGTTATCGGGACAAGATTGGCGGACACGATAAAAACCGAACACCGATGGGCAATCGACGAAACGGTGTTTTGGACGGATTCAACAACTGTACTCGCGTGGATCAACAACGACGCGCGCCGCTACACCGCCTTCGTGTCACACCGACTGGGTGAAATCGCCGAACGAACGGAGCCGAATCAATGGCGATGGATATCCACCGAATTAAACGTGGCCGACGACGCAACTCGAACAAAATACGCCGACGTCGTCCCCGCGAGATGGCTATCCGGACCGGAGTTCCTGCTGCGCGACAGGGAGGAATGGCCTACACGAAGCAACGAAGAGGGACCCATCTCCGAAGAAATAGTGGCCCACACGACCGTCTCTTCTACGAACGAAAATGAAGCGATGCCGGATATAGAACGAATCGGCAAATACGAATGCCTCATCCGCGCCACGGCCTTAGTACTATTGGCTATCGAAAAATGGCATCGAAAAGGCAGCCAGTTGGAACTACGCCACATGACACGAGCTGAAGATATGTGGCTACGACGGGCGCAACGAGAGTCCTTCGGCGACGAAATACGACTGCTTCAACAAGGAAAGAAGATACCACAGTCAAGCCGCCTATACAAGTTAGACCCCGAGCTGATGAACGGAGTACTGCGCGCACGAGGAAGAATAAACGCCGCGACAGTACCAGAAGAAATGAAGAAGCCGATCATATTGGACGGAAAGCACCCGTTCACACGGAAGATCATCGTGAGAGAACACGAAGCGGCGGGTCACGCAAACAGAGAGCGTGTCATCAACGAATTACGACAACGCTACTGGATATTGCGCCTACGTCCGTCGGTTCGCACCGCCACCCGCGCATGCGTGATGTGCAGAGTTAGAAGATCGAAGCCAACAACGCCATCTACAGGGGACTTACCGCGCGAACGACTCAGCCCACACCTCAGGCCCTTCACGTGCTGTGGCCTCGATTACTACGGGCCAATGACCGTCACCGTAGGACGACGCCACGAGAAGCGCTGGGGCGCATTGTTTACTTGCCTAACCACCCGAGCGATACATCTAGAAGTTGTGGCAAGCCTCAGCACAGACTCGGCGATAATGGCGATAAGAAGAATGGCAGCGCGGCGTGGATGGCCGAAAACTATAATGAGCGATAACGCAACGAACTTCAAAGGCGCCGACAAGGAACTACAAGCGGCCATACGAGAATGGGCCCCCAGACTACAAGATTACCTGCTGCAACGGCGCGTCGAATGGAAGTTCATCCCCCCTGGCGCACCCAACCAGGGGGGAGCATGGGAGCGACTAGTGCGGTCCGTCAAGACAGCTCTAGCCACAACGCTGCACGAGAGGGCACCGAAAGAAGAGGTGCTCCATACGCTGATGACCGAAGCCGAACACGCGGTGAACTCACGACCGTTGACCCACGTATCGGTCAGCCCGGCCGACGCCGAAGCCCTCACACCGAATCACTTCCTCCTAGGAACATCATCAGGTCTACCACTCACCGGCCCCTGTCGACCCTGCGACAGGCGCCAATGGCGGGCCACCCAAGCGCTCGCCGACAGTTTCTGGCAGCGCTGGATGAAGGAATATCTTCCGACGCTGGTACCGAGGGGCGAAACAAGAAAAGAAGCCGCACTTCGAGTAGGCGATCTCGTCATCATCGCCGACCCGAACTCACCGCGCAACATCTGGCCCCGGGGAGTAATCGAACGCATCTTCCCCGGGCCCGACGGCGAGATCCGAAGCGCCGACGTACGCACCAGAGGTGGGCTGTTTCGGCGACCAACGAGGAAGCTCATCGTGCTGACCACCGAGACACTGGACACATTATCCGCACCTCCCCCGGACCAGCGGGGAGGGACGCGCTGCGATCCTGAGCCTGGCGAGCCGTCCGATCCGGCGAAAGGGGCTCCGAGCATCTCTTCGCCGGGGGGAGAACTGTTACGGACGGCGGACATGAAGACCCTTCCCCGCAACCTCACCCCCGCAACGAGTGGAGGGGGCACACCACGGGCAGCAGCGACGGGAGCACCCCCCCGCGACCTCCCCGCCGCATAATGGAAGGGGCACCGACATAACATGAATCTATTAGGTCAATTAACGCGTTAGGATAGTAGCTAAGTGCGAACGAACAAATCCCACTTAAGTAAACCCGATTTGTATGAAAGCATGCCTACGAACGTTTTCGTACTTTGTACTACAAATAAGAAGAAAGAATAAACGCCTTCAAATCTCCAAACTGTTGTTTCCATCCCCAACATACATATTTAATAATTATGATTAATTAATGGTAAATGATGGTAAAGGAACACCATGCTTGTGACAAATCTGTTAGATTTTCACCGATTATTCCACAAATTGCTGAACGATTTTCAAAATTCTTTTTAATTCAACAGTTTAATGGACTGAGGTGATCCCATATAAATATTATCAAATTAGTAATTTTCCTAATATAACAAAATAAAATTTTCTTTCCATCATATATCATCTATATTATTTAGATGATAATTATATTTATATCAGAGAAAAAAAAAAAGATTGCGTATTTTGCATTCATTCAAATATATTTTTTCATGTATTATTTCTGTAAGCAATTATAACATACGCCCTCTGAGTATTATGTAACTTCCCATAGGTGAACGAATTTTATACTCGATCCATTAGTTTCGGAGCCTATTCAATACAAAGCAATCAAATCACTAAATTTGTTCTTTATAAAAATATAACCGAAAAAAGTAAAAAAAGTTTGAAGTAATGAAATGGTAAACGAAATAATTCAACTGAATATCCAGTTCGGTAAAAGTTAAACTGAATACTTTATGGTTATATTATTCAGTGAAAACACTATTCAGCGCATCTCTAGTTAAAATGTATAATGAACCTTGTTGCAAGAAACACAAGGTGTAATTGGAAAAATAATAGATGTGCTATGTGGGGGTCAAGTGGATGGGTATTGGTGGATCATCCAATGGCGTGATACTGGACTCAATTTTGGTTTTCCGATATTTAACGCGGTTCGAAATCTAACATTCTGCGCAAGTATATCAATAAGCCACACTGTAATCAAATACTCACCGGCACGTTTCTAAGTATCACTTTTCCATAGCTTGATAGTCTTGTCGTTTTCAAGTGCAGCTGACGCGATGATGTTCTCGGTGGGATGACAGGCGGTGCACAATACTGTGTCCGTGTGACCAGACAACCGTTGCACTATCTCTTTAGATTGCAGGTTCCAGATATATACTAAGTTGTCCTCTGATCCAGACACTATCCACTGTTGACAATTTAAGAAATGTTTTATATGATTTTTTTTTTCACACCTAATCAATTCCTTGACTACACATTCACTTCAAAAATATTTAATGTTAGGTTTGAAGGGTACATTAATGTTTTAACCTTTCACGGTTATTGACATAAGAATGATTGTTAATCATAGAAACACATACCAATATTTAATGTGAAGTTTAATTACGTTTCAATAAATTCAATAAAAAAAAAAATATTTTAAACATTTTTCTTATTACTAAGCGATAACTTGTCTTTGTTGTATAACAATTTTTTAATGGAATTCCACATGGCAAAACCGCGTGACACAAATAGTGTTAAAATATTTGAAACAATTAACACAAAAACAAGGCCAATGCTGATTAATTGAAAAAATCAACACAAAAACTGTTAACACAAAGGAAATAAACCTACACAATTGCCACTTAGTAACAAGGCAAATGTTTGAATCATAGTAACATTTTTTACAACACTTTTTACGACTCTATGAATGAAATCATAGACTTCGCCTCTAGTCAACATTGTATGATATAATAAATTAAACTTACTAATTTATCATTTCTCACTTAAAAAAATTATCAGTATCAAAATGAAGTAATATACTTCATTTAGAACCATGAAGATTTAATTGTTATGGACTGCAATAATACCCAAAATAAAAAGTTTAGAAGAATAATACTTCCAGAAAGTTGCACAAATGTCCATTAAAATTGTCATAAATTTTATAACTGCTTATATTCATTTTAATACTAAATGAAGATATATTAGCTCAGTTTCACAGACCGAAGCTTATAGCCTATATCTTTTCTCAAAATTTAATTAATTAATACTAAAATAGATTTCCAAAGCTGACAAGTAGTTCCTGATGTTTGGTCATGAGTGTACTAAAGTTCTGGGCCTTATGGCAAATCAGTGAGAGATGATACAAAGTACACAAGTCATCTAATTCATAATAAATAAATAAAATTAATTACCTTCCCTCCAGTAACACTAAAGTTTGCAAAAATACAATACTTTTCATTCTTATGTCCTGTGTATGTTTTTAAACATTTTCCGCGGCTATAATCCCACAGTTTCAATGTATTGTCCAATGTAGCTGCTAATATATATTTGCCGTTTGGGGAGAATTTTACAAACGAAACTGGAGGATTGTCATCATCGATAAGTGTTTTCAAACATTGACCGGATGCTGTGTCCCAAATTCGACTGAAACAATTCACAAATTCTTTAATATGCGAATATAAGAAGTTATTTAAAACATAATTGTTTTTAATGTGACTATAAAATATTTCTATTTTCGAAAAGAGGCCTTACCATAGACCATCATAACTTGAAGATACAATAAGACTTCCATCTCTGTTAAAGTGTACTGCTGATACAGGATCTGAGTGTGCGGGAAGTGTCTTTAAACATTTACCTGGAATGAAATTAATAAACTTATGGTGCAATCTTGTATGTAGCCATTGTCAAAATTTTAGTATATTATAAAATTAATAACATTTCAAGAAATATAAGAATAATATATTACCTGTCCTGACATCCCATATCCGAACACTTTCGTCAAAACTTCCAGACACAATAAGGTTACTTTGTGGATTAAAATTACAACAGAACACATAATTGCTATGTCCTTTTAGTGTTTTTAAACATTTGCCTGAACTTAATTCCCAAACCTGAAAGAGAAAAAAATAATTATTATATACAAAAGGATGGAATAGAATAACATAGAATCAATTATTTATAGTTTTAGTGTATCCAAATCATACTTTATTGAACATTATGAAATATCTTTGGATCTATGCAGTATAAGATCAGAGATCTAATTGTCTAATTTCAAAATCTATTGCAATCATTTTCAAAGGTATAATGATTCTGATAGCGATTTATAGGATTATGTAATGTTTAAAGTTGTAATTGCTCATGATAAGAACGATTTAAATAATCAAGAAACATAAATAATCAAGACACATAATAGTCAAGTATACTCAACTCTTTCATTTGACATTTCCCTAAAGCTTTCAAAAATATTTTTAAGTAACACTTGCTTTAAATTAACGAAATATTTCATTTAATACCTTTCATAAAACATCGCGATCGCATCGCTATGAAATATGTAGCTGTAGTAGAAGATATCTTTCAAATGTGAAATTGAAAGGAAAAAGATATAGACTAAAATTAGACAATTTTAATTAATTATGATTAAAAACTAAAACACCTATTGTCCTTGACTGTGAATAACAATTTGTGAATGTAGAAACTAAACTTTTTATGATTAATGTTTGTATTAAATAAAAATTAATACAGAGAGGGTCAAAATTCAAAATGTAGCCCTAATAACTAACATTTACTAATGACTAAATATTAAAATATCATTAAATTATTCACTCTGGATTTTAACCTTAGTCATCAAAATAATTCATAATTTAAAACTCATTATTTAACCATTTGTTTAGAAATAATTATAATTAATGATGTTTCACATATTTTTATAAATGATCAAGAAAATATTTTGCTATTTTCAAACTAATATTTTGATATAAAAGTAAATAAACAAATAACTACAGTAATAATAACTGAACTATTAATAATAATTCACATAATATAAAAAAATTCCTGTGAAACCTCCATGTATGTTTACTCTTATCTTATCATTGAAATTTGTAGTCAGATAAAAGTTCAACAGTGTGAGACCAAGCTTCGAAAGTAAACTTGTATTACACTGAATCAGATAAGATGAATTATAATTCTGGTCCTACAGTATAGACCTATACAGGTATAACCATGCATTTTAGTTACATATTTGATGATACACATGCTAAAGATAATATTTCATTCAATCAAGTGGTTTATATTTATTAGAATAATTATGTTGCACAAAGTAGACTAAATTAAGTTTCAGTCCTATCAAAATGTGTTTTGAAATAGAAATTTAGTAAAAAACTTATTATACTATAGGGTACAAGAGCACAATTACATTTCTTTGATTTTAAATGACTACAGAATAATGTGAACATTTGTTTCTTTTTAGGCTGGAGTTCACCAGTTGTCGGTTTAACATAGATTAAAAAATCAGTCAGATAAAAAAATTAACTGTTTTTCAAACGGTCATTAAAGAAATTCATGTTTACCAGATAAATTTTAATCATGATTAGCAAATTGGCCGATTATCCATCTTTTAGAACGAATGTAGGAATGGTAATATGCTAATCAGTTGCATATGTAGTTCTGCCATATACAGACAACACAGTCTATATTGAAAATTCAATGTAGCAGCGTAATAAAAATACTAACAATTTTAAGAGTATGGATGACATGAGAAGACTGGTACAAATAAAAGTATTTTAGCTTTGATCAACGTATAAGCTCAAAATGGTATCTATTGTCTTGTTTACTTTTTGGACTTGCGTAAATTATATGTTTTCAATTATTTGTATTGTGTGAATGTGAATAGTTTATTTTTAAAAAATGGGACAGAAAAAACTAACATCCAATTTCTTCAGTGTGTGTGTTTTCTTAAGTGCTGAGTAGAACATAGTATCCTAACGGAATTAGTTATCAAACCGAATCGCAAAAATCAAAACGACTTAGTGACATAATATGGTTTTATAACTTTATCAAGGAAATTCTTTGTTCTATTTGGTTGTGTTGGTGTTGGTGTTGTGTTGGCGGTAAACAGAAATGTTATGTTTTTAATAGATATGTTTTCTGTACAATATAAAAAAATATAATGATTTTATATATCCAATATAAAATTAAACTCTGCCTGCGTTTTTAACGTTTACAACCTGCATTTTTGATTTCTAACATTTACTACAAACATTTTGAACAAAGCCAAGCAAGAGACATATAATGACTTAAGTCAATATAATTAATGTTTAAACGGGGTTGTAGGGCTTTAATCAATTGATTAGTGTGTGGTAAACATAAAAATGTCTTTAATCAACTGATTAAGTACTAATCAGTTGATTAGAAAGTCTGTGAACTTCAGCCTTAGTTTCACTCAGTTGCACAAACATCCATTAAAAATGCCACATGTTTAATTAATGCAATACTACCTCAATATATTATATCTCAAATGTTCAAATTTAGAACATTCAAACTTAAAATAATCATTAAACCTTAATGAATGTTTTTGTAACTGCATTTACAAATGGTACTACAGAATTGGCACCAATATAAAAAAAAAATCATTATCTTACCTTTAAAGTTTTGTCGTCACTAGCACTAACTATTAATCGACTGTCCGATGACCAAGCCACATCACTGATGCCCATTTTGTGTCCAGATATTGTTTTCTCAAATTTTCCATCATATGCTCCCCACACTTTGATGAGTTTATCAGCAGCTATAAAAAGTAATAAACTAAATTTAGTACCTTTGTATGTTACATACAGTTGTGAAAAAAAAGACCACACTCAAATACCCTGCCAATTTGTGTATGTATAATATGTGAAGAATAAGGTCACATAGACTTCAATGATTGCACAATCAAGATATAATCTCTACAAAACTTGCAAAATATTATAAAATTAATTTATAAATACATTATTTATTATTTTATAAGTTTAACTTAATATGAGCAACTACATACCCAACTAAATATAATGCTATTTTCTATAAGTATTTCTTTGTAGGCATTCTAAAATTTAATGTTTGAAAATCATCTTCACAAACTATGCAATGAGGTCACAAACTTATCTGTGCTAGTTGGACAGATTACACAAAATGTTTGACATATTTTATAGTATTTAGTTTACATACTCATCTGTCAGAGACATCTAACTATAATTACGACACATAAACTCAATTAACTATCTAAAATTATAATCTGTCATATCTATCATGTTCGAAATAAATTGTTCATTAATACAATTGAAATACGGTAAAAATGGACTGCATACAGCTGTTTCGATTTAAATAATTATGATTCGTATTCCGATACTCACAGGAACTGGCCAGCCATTCTCCATTTGGACTGAACTTTACTGATGATACAGCCTTTGTGTGACCAGCAAGCGTGAATTTTAATGTGTAGTTCGGCTTCTGGAAACCGACAACGATATTAGCGCCAAATCGCACGTGCTCACAAAAAGTTAGTTATATAAACATGTGCCGCCCGCGCCTGACGCAAGCCAAAGTAACTTCAATAAACACTTACCGCCACTGAAGACTTATTCGATTGTGGGGCACTTTGTGATAATGAATTTGGTCCTGAGAGATTTGCTGCAGGCCCACCGTGTGTTTGATGTGCAGCAGGATGGCCGGGCCCCGGTCCTAGCGGCACCATGTTTCAACTTTCGTCGCACTACTTATTCTTTTGTTCGTCACCCAAAACAATCACTATTACACACTGAATAACAAACCAAATATTTATTTAAAAATGATATTTCACAAAAGTTTTCATTAACACACAGTGGTTTATCTATTTCAACGCAAATATTCAACACGGAACATTCTAAATTCAGGCGTCTCGATGCGTGCATATTTCGCGAAGGCAAGCAATAATGCCAACATGGTAAAACTTATTAATATCCCTCCCCCCGCGCTCTTGCACGCTACTCTTGCGTCCATAATAAGGGAGGGTTAACACTTTTGTGTAATGACTAGGCAAAACGCAAACAAGGTAAGCGTAACTAACGAGCAAAAGATATAGTTATTTTAAACTAGCTATTTTTCTATGACTTCACCTATTTATAGGCTATGTCTCTCAAGTATAAAGTAGCTTCCTGTAGATAAGATAATATTTAGTACCGAATAAATAAAAAAAAAATCAAGCTTTTCTCTTAAAAATGTTAAATTAAAAAATAAACGAGGCGAGGCGAAAGGCAGTGTGTAAACTCTTAGGCTCGACAACAAATACTACCAATATAAGTTTTTATATCTGTTAACACAATTTTATCGATATTGTAAGCCCAAAACCAAAATCCAAGATATCGAGTTCTGTTTCGTCATCTGTTTTATTCTAACTTAAGAATTTTTATGCCACAAAGTAAGATAGAGCATGACAAAGTTGACGATTTATCGAATATATAGAACAGCAGCGTGAATTATGCACACCAGCTTATCCAAGACAATATTTTGAAACATATAAGTAGAGCGGAGATAAAATGGGAATAAAACAACTGTTATTTATATAAAATAAATTTCATATAAATTACGCAATATTTACATGAAATAACGAATTCATAAGATTTTTTTTCAGTTAGATGCAATGTACGTATAATCCTATTATGTTAAGACAGACAATAAGAAATTATATTACTTCATCAAGACATAAACACATTTTTTGTAATTATTAATTTAGTAAACGTTGTCCAGAAAAAAAATTATATGCAGTGCCTAAATTGTGAGAATGAGTAAGTATTTAAAAAAAAAAGAAACTACAAAAATTTATGTCGCTAGATGGCAGCACAAATTGTTGAATCTAAACGTCAATTCATGACGTTAAACCAAAGAGAATAAAATTCTCAGTGTTGTTATGGATCTGATAACTCAGACTAATATCGAATTGAAATTTAACTAGTTCGAGTTATGCAAACGCAACTCGATTAATACAAAGTAATCTTTGAATAAATTTCTTTTTTTTATTTGTATAGAGGAAAATGGAACCTAACATAATAGAAGTGAGCACAGAGGTTTAATAAAACCTCTGTAAATTTATGGAAATCAATTGAATTAATGCTGTGATATAATTAAAAGTGGCATTTAGCTACAGTATACAATAATATTACCGCCAAATAGTTTTTATTAATAAAATACTTATGCCATAGTAGATCTAGGAATTTTTCATTGTAATATTAAACAAAAGTTCTGAAAACAATAACAACTAGGTAAGTTAGTTTTATTGCTATTAGTTGTTTGTTGAACTTACAACAACAAAACTTACAAATATTATGTATGTTGAATGGATGAATAGGGTTTATTAATCAGGAACAAAAGTCATTAAAACGATAATTATAATAAAAAATCCGTTTATTATCACTTTTGAGATATAGACGATTGAAGTTTAAGCTGTATTTGTTTGTTGATGTAACATTTTTGTGTATTATATTTTTATCTAATAGCATAGAAACCACTTACATTATCTTAATGTAATGTCATTTTAACAGAACTAATAATATTTATTAAAATATAAAGGTTAAAGTGTCTTTGGATCCTTTTTGATATATTTAGGTTTTAATTACCTTATTCTTACAAAACAAATCTCAAAAACGATCCAAATGAAGAAATAATAGAATAATTAACTGAAATGCCAAAATTGAATCGTAAAAACTATTTATTAAAAGGTCTTTATATTTATTGTTTTAATTTTAAATGTCAAATGTATTCTCATTATCTAAAATTACCTTCCTGCACCTTTTAATAAAATTATCTTTAAAAAAAATGATTCAAGCGTTTTGAATCTTTATTGTGATTTTTAACCAAGATTAGTGCCTTTAATTTGCTATTTTACTATATGGATCCAAGAAGCTTGAGTCGTTTTCATGGAACTAAAATATGAACCTACCAAAGATGTGGGATGGTAGCTACCATTTAAAACAACGACAAATTTTTAATACAGCTCAGAGCTTTCAGAAAGTATAGATCCTGATGGACAGTATGGTATACTTAACTCATTTTCGACCAATTTGTGGGTTGGATCCTTTTTGAGTAACTACGTCCAATTCTGCGCTCCGCATTTTGTTCTTAATTCCAAACCTGAATTCGGATGAAAGTTACGAGCAACCAATAAGTTGTCTCACCACTAATGTTGACATATAAACCAAACATCGGACCTTTACACGTAACTTAATAAATTACGATTCAAATAAAATAAAATTAATTTAAAAGTTAGATATTATACGAAACACGAAACGATGTCATATTTATTAATTTGCGATACTCAATTTACTTTTATTACTGAATATCATAAATAAAATCCAAAATCGCTGGTGACATCTAGTATGATTTCAAGAACTAATTTTATTTTTTAAATACTACCTCATTAAAAATGGGGTGAATAGTATTACATAGTCTAGGACAGCTAAATTCGCAAATCTTCCTCTGCAAATCTATAAGGCCAAACTTCGTCAAAAGTGAAAGAGCATACGTTGTGTGTTAAGTTGCATAATATAATCGGCTATGCTACGGAAACTTCAACCGATTCGTAAAACAAGACACGGTACCTACCTGGCACGAAAAAGTACTTACGTAAAAAATTTAAATCGTAAAAAACTTTATGTATCCCAAAAAGTATTCTTATGTGAAGCGCAAGGTACAGCTCGAGCTATATACAGGTATACCGGAATCTGATGGTAAATCGGGTATAATAACATTCGTTTTAAGCGCAAGTAGATTAGTGACCCAAGTTGACTCATTACTAGTTCTAGACTTGGATACCTATAGACAATAAAAAAAAGCTCTTATACAATGTAGAAATCACCAGTACCACGATTTATTTATCACTTATGGCAAGAACGTTTGACCCTTCTGACATATCAAGGTTAAAATTGACACTGCTTTGGGAAGTTGAAATTTCGGTGGTGAAGAATTACCGAAATTTTTCAAAAATTAGAATAATTTGTTAGTAATAAAATGGCTTTAAATAAATTGAGTATCGATTCTCTTAATTTAAGTGGCAAACGAGTGCTCATGAGGTTAGTTCCGTTAAAATACAGTTCGTAAAATCTTCCCCGACGTTAAGTTCGAAACTTAATAGTTTTCTTTTATTGTAGAGTTGACTTTAATGTGCCCTTGAAAGAAGGAGTTATAACGAACAACCAGCGTATCGTAGCAGCCTTGGATTCAGTTAAATATGCGCTGGACAAAGGCGCGAAATCTGTGGTTCTTATGTCCCATTTAGGCCGGCCTGACGGTCAGGCAAACTTGAAATACACCTTGAAGCCGGTTGCTGCAGAACTCAAAAAACTCTTGAACAGGTACGTTCACATTTATTATTTTCTTTACTCATAAGATATTCACACAAGCAGCTTTTCAACAAGGTTTAAAAAAAAAAACAATTAGGTTGAATTTATAAAAGTCGTAACTATATGTTATAATGTTATATGACATTTTGCTGTAGAGACGTAACTTTCCTGCCTGATTGTGTGGGTTCTGAAGTGGAAGCTGCATGTGCTGATCCTCCTGTTGGATCTGTCATTCTTTTGGAGAACCTCCGCTTCCATATTGAGGAAGAAGGAAAGGGTTTAGATGCAAATGGTACCAAGGTCAAAGCTGATCCTGAAAAGGTCAAAGCATTCCGAGCTAGTTTGAGGAAGTTAGGGGATGTGTACATCAATGATGCCTTTGGTAAATATATATTTACATTTTTCCCTCAAAGCTTACCACTAAAAGAATATTAATGGACTGAGTTCTTGTACAATCACTTGATAAATTTGCCTTTTGAGCAATATTAGTATTAAAGAATAAAACTTTTTATTACAATGTTTATATAAAAATATTAAATAAGTAATGATAGTACAAATATTATTCTTATTTTACTAGGTACTGCACACAGAGCACACAGTTCCATGATGGGTGATGGTTTTGAACAAAGAGCCAGTGGCTTTTTGTTGAAAAAGGAATTGCAGTACTTTGCTAAAGCACTCCATGAACCAGAAAGGTATGAATTAGAAGTTGCATATAATATAAATAGTTTTACATTTAATTTTGTGAGAACTTTAATGAAATATCTATTTTTAGACCTTTCTTGGCAATCCTTGGTGGAGCCAAAGTTGCCGACAAGATTTTACTGATAGAAAATTTATTAGACAAAGTTAATGAAATGATCATTGGTGGTGGTATGGCTTATACATTCCTCAAAGAAACAAAAGGCATGGCTGTAAGTATGTAATTAATATTGAGAATGATGCTTGATAGTCTGCAATAGTTTTTAAAAACTCTTACCTCTAACAATCAATTTTAAAATAGGAGCATTTAAAATAAGTTTAATAAATAATTTTTGTAACAACAAATTCTAGATTGGCGGTTCATTATATGATGCAGAAGGAGCTAAAATTGTTGGTAAACTTTTGGAGAAAGCTGCCAAGAATAATGTGAAGGTGCATCTTCCAGTAGACTTTGTCACTGCTGATAAGTTTGATGAAAATGCTTCGGTAAGTCGTTTTTAATATCTAATGACTTTCATTTAATTTCTAGGACCTTTACCCGTTTCTGTTTTATTTGTTGCTGTCCACTTAATTTTTCTTTTTATAGTTCATTACAGCAATCATTTTTTCAAAGCCCTACATATCAGAGTCTAGTGTACTCTTATTCAGCTCATACCAACCTATTCTTTATTTGCAGTATGTAACACAAATTTATTTTCCAATATGATCAACACATGTGGTGTTGTACTCAAATTATCTTTGGATGTCTTTTTGTGGATTAGAATACTAATGATGTAATAAGATTGAACGGCTTCTTGGGATCGTTTTGTTAGCATACATTAGTATAAATATTTTTTACTACTTTTGATCAACATGTGACAACAATGAATTATCACTAAAATTTTAAACTTTTCATTTATACAAAGTATGTATTTTTAATTTAGGTTGGCAGTGCTACCGTTGAGTCTGGAATCCCTGACGGCTGGCTAGGACTTGATGTCGGTCCTAAATCTCGAGAGCTGTTCGCTGAACCTATTGCAAGGGCTAAAGTTATTGTATGGAATGGGTAGGTATATAAACATAAGTAATTATGATATTTTTTTATACCTAACTCTTCTAAGGTTTAAATTTTCTTTGTCAGACCTGCTGGTGTATTTGAGTTTGAAAAGTTTGCCGGTGGCACCAGAGCTCTCATGGACGGTGTAGTAAAGGCCACAGCTAATGGGGCAATCACAATTATTGGTAAGTTTATTGTATATTACTTGTATATATTTCTAGACTACTTCGCCCATATAAACTATAGCCTGTGTCACCCGCGTATGATGTAGCTTTAATGACCCATTCGTTTCGGAGCCAATTCAATGCAACAATAATTCAAACAAATCTTTCCTCTTTATAATATTAGTAGGAAAGATGTCTTTAAAGTATGCTGGATGCATATGCCATATTTAATGAACACTATATCAGATGGAATTGTTTCTGTGACTGTTTACTACAGGTGGCGGCGACACGGCCACATGTTGCGCAAAATGGGGTACAGAGGACAAAGTATCTCACGTTTCTACCGGTGGAGGCGCTTCATTGGAACTCCTTGAGGGTAAGTAGTAAAAAAACTATCTTATTAATTTTACTCATTGACGCCCCTCAATGAAAGTTAACGCCCTAGGCAAAATATTGGAAAACGCCCATAATATAAATCGCAAAAAATAGGAGTGCTTAATATATGTATAATCGGTATATATGCCCATTAAAGAGTGTAATTTTGCCAATCATAAAAGAACTGCTTACATATACCTGGTTTGAAAAAGTCAGTTTAAGAAACAATATTGGCTATTTGACTGTATTAAGAAAAGTATTTTTAATACTAACACTATCAGAATCCTTTTTAAAAAAAGTGTTATTAAACAAAGGAATAGCATATTTTTGTTCATAAATTTGAAATTTTGAGCTGTCACATCACATTTTAATAAACACGAGTACTGCTACCTTTATAAATCCTGATACCTTTAAAAATTATCTTTATAAATACTTGCTCCATTTGTGACATTAATAGCACAAGTGTAAGTATTAAACACTCGCAAACAAAGTCATTTTTAATACGCTTTTATTAGGTCGACCTTTATCTTTTACAAGCATATCTTGAAAAATCCGCAATTTATTTTTGGCTTTTACGGGCACTTATAAAAGCGTGTTTTTTTTTTTAAATGTTGCAGAAGTATTTCTTATATTAGGTCCTTACATATGAAATTGGTGTTTGGAATATAATATATTTATTTAATCAAAGTATAAACCATTGTTATCTATGCACTTTTGCCATCTCATAGGTAGTTAATTGATATCCTTACTAAAAAAACCATTCGGATTCGAATCAATAAAATCTTTGAAGGCTATTTGCACTGCCCCATCGGAGTTGAATTTTTTCCCTTCCAAGAAGTTATATCGAAAAAAATGGTAATCTGTTGGAGCGAGATCCGGGGAGTACCATGGATGTCTTAAACATTCCAATTGAAGCTCTTCTAATTTGGTAGCCGTCTGATGTGCAGTGTGTGGTCTAGTGTTGTTGTGAAATAGCAGTGGCGTAGAGCGATTGACCAGCCCCGGTGGTTTAACAGCTAGTTTTTCCAGCATGGTTGGCAATTGCTGATAATAGACGTCTGCCGTAATCGCCTGGCCAGATTTGAGTAAACTGTAATGAACGACACCGGTACTAGTCCACCAAACGCTTACAAGTAACTTTTTTGGGGTCAATTTTTGCTTGGGGCAGGATTTGGCTGGCATGCCAGGGTCCAACCATGGCGATGAGCGCTTCCGATTATCGTAGAGAATCCACTTTTCATCACAGGTAATGATTCGATTTAAAAATACTTCATTATTGTGCCGGTTACGATATTTCAAGTTTTCCATTTTTTTATACTGAGTTACGTAAATAGGATAAACAGAAGAAAAAAAAAACAAACGAATTCCGCCTAAAGAAAAACAAATAAATGTGTAAATAATAAATTTGAATTTGGAATTCCCGACCAAGGAAGAGAAATTTGTGATTAAAGTGGCCAGTACGACGAAACGCCAATTTCATATGTAAGGACCTAATATTATTAAAGTTTAGTTTATTACAATGGACGTCATAAGAAGGTCGCCTGCGTTTCTGTTAATTTAGAAAAAAATAAATTTACTTACGATTTATTTTAAAGAAAATACTATATATTTACGTACAAATAATCAAAATCAATATATTACATAATTTATAATAACTGCTAATAAAAAAATGCTACTATTCCCTCTAATATTCATTAGTCTTATATATTGATTTAATATTAATATATAATGACTAATGAATATATAAATATTCACTTAAAAGCGTAGCTCCTACTTACGTAGTTGATTGAATAAAAATCCACGACGAATCTGTTAATTTGCTTCTTGCTTTGTTAATCCATGGAATCTTCTCAGTTCACTTAACAAGAATGATGAAAAAGCCAACTGAAATGGAAAGTACAGCTTCCTTTAATCTCGCTAGTTAGACTATCTTAGATAAATAGCAGTGTTTATACGAATTTTGGTCTTAAGTCTGTTATATTTGTTGAAAATCAAAATTATAATTTGGGTTGTATTTAACGTTATTCCCTAATGATAGATAGATAGATAAATTCTTTATTTGCATCATGCATACACAAAATTTTAATGACATTAATGACATTCTATAATGTATTCTGTAATGTATAATATAATAACTTTACTTCTGTTATATTAGTGGTTTTTACAATTGAAAAAGAAATGTTGAAATTTAGTAAAACCTAAATTTAGTCTAGATTGTGCAACAGAATTGCTACTATTAGTTGATCTATCTAATAAGTAACATGGAACGTAGCTGTAGGTAAATAACCTATTACATACATTACTCTAAATATACCCTGAACAGAAGGCAGTACAACTTTTGCTACTATATTGATATTATATCTATATAAATACAAAGATACTTTTCAAAAGTAAATATAGTCGTAATTGGCGTAGTTTTAACCATTTGATTTTCATGTGTTTGTATTGTACGAGTTGTTATGTACGATGTTTACCAAACTTTACTATTTTATACTGACCGTTTGTTATATTATTATTTTAATGGATGTGAATGATTTATTTATTATAAGGACTTTTAAAACATCCCATCGTAGCCATTAGGCTAATAAATAATTAGCCATATCATTATATTATGATAATTTTCGCACTGACACTGAAACTTGTGCCTGTGGCAAATTGTCCCCCAACTTGTCCCCCTTAAATCCAATCCTACTCATGTTTTAATGCAACTACTTTTAACTTTAAAATCCTTAAAATTGTAATTGCTATGAAGTTTTCAACAGCTCCTCACTGTATATATGTTATTTTGTTTTGTACAGCAAAATAAAACTTCCAAATAAGCTGTAATAAAAAATGACGAATCTTCTTCATTTTTCTGAGGTTTATGTCACGGTCGATCGTGAATTTATAAATTTCCTTTATAAAAACATCATGAATATACTCCTAAATTTCTCCATTTTTTGTCAATTTTGTCTCGTAATTGTACCTCTTTTTTATAGAGAACTAACTTTCGCCAGCGGCTTCGCCCGCGTGGTCCCTAGGGAAATGTTTAGTGGGAAAAAAGTATCCTATTATCTAAGTCAGCTAATACCCTATCTGTATACCAAATTTCATCAAAATCCGTTCATTAGTTTCGGCGTGATTGACCGACAATCATCCAAACAAAGAAACTTTCACATTTATAATATTAATAGGATATTGATAAATATACCAGTTACAATGTAGCCGAGGACTTTACGTAACACTGACAATAATCGTAATGGTTTGCGAATAATTAAGTACTTTTGACTCGTAATACGCCATCCTCTATTACCTTTAATATTTACCTTGTTTACGGTTGTTGATTTCGTCTTTACATCCATATTTAACGCCATTGATATCTAATTTCTTCTTTGTAAACTCTTACTGCAGCCATCATATTTGAATAATGACTGCTTGATAAGTAGATTGTCGTAGTTACATTATCGAATAACTAATCTATGTAATAATAAATATTATATATATTAGATTTCGAAATTAAGATTTAACTATATAGATATTAGTACTAATTTATATAGTTCATTATTAATAATTAGTCTAAAAGTAAATTAGTCTTATAGCACTGTCACCGAACGGTGAGAATTTCGTAGGTAAAATGACCTGCAAAGCGATCGCCTAACTCTAGTCTTGATTCTAGCTAAAGGATATGACATCTTAGTTATTTCATGATGATATTACCTTACATGTTATTTCTTTGACATCATCATCATCATTCATTCTTTATTGTTCGTTCGTCGTTACTAAAGTACATGTTAAAGTAGTAAAATGAAACGTAATATTGCTCTAACGTCGATAAGATGTCGTATCCTATGGGTATAATCATAGCTAGAGAATTAAGCGGTCGCACTCCCGGCATTACATATCCCTGTCATTCGTGTGCAAGCAAGCTATTGCGCTCACATAGATGCATCTAGGCAATTTTATCATAGCAAAGAGAGCCCAAAATGATTACAATATTTATCAGTAAGCACAGAGGTCAATGTACAAAATTCTTTCCATTCGGCGACTGTGCCATATCTTATTTATTAATATTTTATAACACACCTGTTATTTTTTTCAGGTAAAGTTCTTCCAGGTGTTGCAGCTCTATCTGACGCATAAATTAAGTAATAAGTGAAAATGGGAGATGAGGAAGCGTTTATATTAAATGTGTAATAATTGTAGCACCAAAACTTATTGGATTAATAAATATCGATTTTATCAAAAGCAAAAGAAATTCTACCAGTACCATAATATGTATGTGGAATATAATTATTTAATATTAATAATTATTATCATAATATCGACAAATATTTTTATAGTTATCGCTTTGTGATTGTTAGAAAGTTTTTTTTTTATTAGAAAAGTGTTGTGTATGTAAATTGTTTAGCTGGTTATATGAATAATAATAATATTTAATTGAATACTGCAAGTATTATAATAAACGTTGATTTAAAATAATGGCTGGGTTTTTGTCAATACTAAAATATTTCTTCCAATTCCACTTAAAACTAAAAAAAACAACTTTAATCTCCTGTTGTACATAATTCGCCCACGTGAACCCTATGGAAATTTTCAGTGGGATAAAAAGTATCCTATTATCTGAGTCAGCTAATACCCTATCTGTATACCAAATTTCATCAAAATCCGTTCAGTAGTTTCGGCGTGATTGACCGACAAACATCCAAACAAATAAACTTTCACATTTATAATATTAATAGGATAATAGGATACAGTTCCTTTTGTGTCGTATAAAGTAAAACCTTTTTTATATATGAAAACCAAAATTTGATTAACATTCCTCGGTGAATGCTTGTCTTTAGTACGCCTTACCATTCCGTACATACCCCTCATCGTTGATATCTAGAATTATGTCAACAACAAAGAATAGTATAGGAATAAGGATATCATTGGAAAGATATAGTATCAATGTACGTGTCTTGTTTTGCGCGTACTATATTTCATCCTTGTCTTTCAGCTTTGTGTTTAATCCAGTATTTGCCGATTTCATTTTTATGTGTATCGACACTGTGATACTTTGCGACAGTGACCAGTATATTTTTCACGGAACAGATTAACAAAAACAAGGTAAGTAACACGTTGGGCGCCAGTTTTCATATTTGTGAATCTTAT